TACTTTGATTATTGATTTTTTTTAATCTTTATCCAAAGTTTATTGCGTGCATTCAGTTGATTTATTACCTAAGCATTTTAAATCTAAATCACACAATTTTTTTGTATATTTTCTTTACACAAATTGTCTTTGAGATTCTTTGAGTTAATCTTTTAAGTGAACTAAACTCGTGATTGTTTACTAAAAACACCAACAAATAGTGGGGTATGATGTTCTTGATGTTGGGTGGAATTTGGGGATCTAGGCACCACCCTTTATGAAGAGATGGTGTTAACAAAGATCAATTTTGGTTTAACTTCCAGATCTTTGTGTTAGGCTGCATTGCGTACGAGATGGTTCCTGGGAGGAGCATATTGTAAAATTTCTTTGAATTAGAGTGCTATTTCATCCAAAGAGCGTGAATTATATTGTTGCGCCAAGTTATAGACAATGTTATGCAAATCGTTAGCCCTTTGAATACCTATATTGACTTGCAGCTACTAGAGGTTTTGAAGCATATTTTGTAGGGGAATCATTGCTCGCGACAGAGGTTGCGTCGAGGTCTGTCCTTGGAGTGGTAGCTAAAAAGACTGAAAAATCGGGAGGACTTGGAATGCACCTAGGTCGATTGTCAAAGTGATTGGATCTTACAGTGGAGGAGCAGGAAGAGAAGCCGTCAGGATAAGATGCCTTCGAATGTAGGAAGAGAAGAGTCTCCCTAGTGAGATCGGGAACATTGATTATTTAAACGGTCGCAATGACGGTGTTACATTGTGTGGTTGATCGAGTAGATCTCAATGTTGCCATTGTTTCAGAAGTCTGGTTAGTGATTCGTGTACGGAGGAGATCAAATGCTTGTCGAATTACAGTGAAGAGACGATGGTTTTTTGTAGAATTTCGAGGAAATCAGATGTAAAATCCCCACATATGGTGTCACTATTCTATTTAGGAATCACAGATGGTTGTTGAAAAAGTGAGATAAAACTTAGGTACAGTGGAGAATGAGTAGAACACCTAGATTTCAACATGTGAATAGCTTTATATATAGATAGATAGATAGATAGATAGATAGATAGATAGAGAGAGAGAGAGAGAGAGAGAGAGAGAGAGAGAGAGAGAGAGAGAGAGAGAGAGAGAGAGAGAGAGAGAGAGAGAGAGAGAGAGAGAGAGAGAGAACTGCTTCCGCTTGATCTAACGTCTTGAACGGATCATTGTTTGATTAGATCAGATAAGAAGTTAATACAAAGTCAAATTAGGTGTTATGAGTTTGAGTGAGGTCATATATATTCTTCGTGCTTTCCTTTTTATTGCCTACTATTAGACTTTGATGTGCGAGTATTGTGAACCGCCCATAATAAGCTTTCAAACAAGAAGTCATGGATTCTAGTTGACTTGGTACAAATTTAAAATGCTGGGGAGTGCAAAATGCGAAAAATATTAGAAGATCATGATAGTTTTTAAAATTTGAGCGTGTGCAGCACACCCTGGGCCCGCTCCTAATTATAAGAAACAGTTTCATAAGACTTGTGTTGTATACTAAACCTCCAAGTCAACTTCCGTGTCATCCGGCTTCAAAGAACATATTTATGTATAACAAATGAACAATTATGAAGCAAATTGTGAAACATAATTCTATGTCTTTAGTTTATGCAGTAGTAGTAGTTCATCATAGGTTCCTTATGTTCTCTCATTTAACTCTACTACTGTTACTTGTCTTAACTCTACTACTGTCACCTATGTTAATATTATCTTCCCTCCTCCTTCTCCTTTTGGAACTTTTTATATGAAAGACAATATAACTGCTTTCAAATGCAACAGATCCGAAAAATGAGTAACCAACCCTCCAAATAATTTCTTCAAAAACAGTTCTTGTCCGAACTATGATTTTTATTTCGCTGATTCAATATTCGATGGTGAGTCTAATCGCTCTTTCGAGGCATGTTCGTTGCTTCACCTTCCTATCATTGAATTAGGCTTTGCACTTTCTGGAAATCCGTTTCCATTCTTAGCTCGTGAAGTTACCTTTCAGTTTCAACCTTCAGATGACAGTGAACGATGTCACAAAGATATAAAAGGTCATTGTCTTGCTCGCAACATCGGAGAAATTTATTGTGCAACTGCAAGGTAATGCATTAAATAAACTTACAGAAACAGTTAAGATGTTACATGGATCATTAGAATTTTGCCTATTACTTCATATTTGAACTATTATGCAGGAAGCGTACCGTAGAAGTTCAGCTTGGAAAATACAATGTGCTTTATTAATCAGCAGATTAGAACAGTTCTTTTTGCGTTTCTTTCATTAACTCGGTTTATAAGTTTTGAAGTTGAAACAACATAAAAATGAAAGTTTTTGTCAACTGCCAAACTAAAATTCATTACAATCTACCGTTAAAGGAGTCGGTATGGGACCATGGATCATAAATGGATTGTTCCTCACGGTACTTCAAACGGAAATATGACTCTGCACACATCCAACTCCAACCAAGCAACAGCGCTTATGTTGATCCTCATCCAAATCGTGAATCGGAGTCAAACAAGCTCTTCTTTGGTATACCTGTCTTCTCCTACGAAGAGCTTCAACAAGCAACAAACAATTTCAACAGCACAAGAGCGGGGAGATGGAGGTTTTGGCACTGTTTACTACGGTTGGGACTCACTTATTCTATTTCTATAATTTAACTCACAATTCAATGTTACTGAGTATGATATTTAAAAACCAGGGAAACTCAAAGATGGAAGGGAGGTTGCTGTGAAAAGACTATTTGAGCAAAATTACAGGAGAGTAGAACAGTTTGTGAATGAGATTCAATTACTCGCTCGCTTGCGCCATAGGAACCTGGTGTCCCTCTATGGCTGCACTTCCTGTCACAGCCGTGAGCTACTCCTTGTATATGAATACATTCCAAATGGAACTGTTGCTAGCCATCTCCTTGTATTCGAATGCAAATTGCAACAGAAACTGCTTCTGCGTTGGCTTATCTACACACTTCCGACATCATTCATCGTGATGTCAAAACCAACAACATTCTACTTGATGTTAACTTTTCTGTTAAGCTAGCAGATTTTGGACTGTCGAGGTTGTTCCCGAACAATGTCAGCCATGTTTCGACTGCTCCACAAGGAAGTCCGGGTTACCTCGACCCTGAGTATTTCCAACTCTACAAGCTATCGGTGAAGAGTGATGTGTATAGTTTTGGCGTTGTGCTCATCGAGCTAATATCGTCTATGAAAGCAATTGATTCTGCTAGAGAAAAAGAGGAAATTCACTCGGCGAATCTAGCGGCTAAGAAGATAAGAAATGGTGGGATTCGGGAGCTGGTTGATCCATCCCTTGGGTTTGAATCAGATAGTGAAGTTAAAAGGATGGTAAATTCAGTGGCAGAATTGGCTTTTCAATGTGTGCTAGGAAACATGGAGTGGAGACCTTCCATGAATCAAGTTCTGCAAGATCTCAAGAAAATTGATGGTGGGAATTTTGAGTTTGATCATCTAGAGAAATTACATGATTGCGTTGGGTCATCGCGCTCGGAAGAAATACAACCATCACTAGAAGAAACTTCTATGAATAAAAAGCAAGTATCTTCTTCACCAAAGTCATTGACTGAGAAATGGGAAAGTGAATCTACTACTCCCGATGCCAGTGGTTAATCAATTTTTCTAAGAATAGTTACCATTCTTTATGTTCTAATAAAATTAAGAATATTTACCAGAGTTTTTTACTCTACAATGTAGTATCTAGTTAAAGTAATGTGTTGTAAATACTTTAAAAGGCCTAAAAAAGGGTAAGAGAATAAATCTCAGCTCCCAAGAGTTAAGAAAGTTTTTGAAAATCAAAATCCATTAACACATTATACCACTGTGTATGTATATCTCTAACTCCGATTCAAGGACAGACTAATTCGAGAGAATAATCTCACGGTTCTTTATCGTAGGTCTAACTGAAACCATAACATTATCTTATATGAACCAAACCAATACATAAATTATTTGTATTTAGTAGGATTTAAATCTGACATCTAGCATGAGCACACTCTTAGAGCACCTCCAATGGTGCAACCAATTTTTAGGTTCTTTGTGGGACCCACTCTTCTAAAATAACTTATTCAATTTTCACTCCAATGGTGCAACTTCAAAGAACCCATATTGGGTCTCACTACTTTACTTAAATATATTATTTATATTAAATTTATTTTATTTAAAATTATAATTTAAATATTTAAATTTTAATTACTATAAATATAAACTAAACATAAAATTAAAATTAAACATAAAATTGAAAATAATAATTTATGAATAAAATGATGAAATTGTGAGAGAGAAATTTAAAATTAAAGAGTAAATAAAAGTGAGAGAAAATAGGATTGATATAAATTTTTGCAACAAACTTATATTTATAATAAATAAAAAAAGTTTAAAAAAAAAATAAAACCAACAAGTTAAATAATTATTTTAATAATAAAAAAAACGAAGAACCGTTGCTTATGCAAGGAACGTTCACCAGCTGGAATAACTTTTTGTTGGCAAACCAATTTGAAGAACCACAGTTGGAGATAGTCTTAGATATCAAGTCTTCACCCGCAACCCAACCCAGAGTAATCTTTATGTACAATTTACTTCCACATTTTTTTTACAATTTATTAGCATGTTTATATCTAATAAGACTAGTAATTGATAACACATGAACCTCTTTTGTTTGTGAAACTATTCATTTAATGTTTTTAAAATGAGACATGAAAAAGTGCTTAGTCCTACATGTAATTCCATTCAATGGTCATAGGTCCTAAAGCCACAAAAAAAGTAAAAGAAAAGAAAAAAAAAAACAAAAAAACAAAGCCAATGAATATGTTGGAAGCATTCCCAAAATAGATCCCATGCTTCTTAGAAGTAATCAACCACCTTTGTCCCCTCATAATCACCACAACAACGTTCAAATTCAAATTCACTTCATTTTCATCACAACCCACACTCCTATAATAATAGAGTCGACAGAGCCAGAGAAGATAGAAGAACTAGAACAGATGGCGAAGCTGCAGAAATTCAAGATCTTCGCGACACAATGCGGTGTGGAAAAGAGTCCAACGCTAAGCCCAAGGACAAGCCCGCTCGTTCAACTTCCGAGGCCCAAAACAACGCTGCGGAGCTTGCTTGGATTGAGCTTGACTCGACCGCCTCGCCGGCAAGGACACGTGTCGGTGTTGGAAAAGAAAGAGAAAGATTCGATGCGGAGACACTCGTTGAAGGATCTGTTTGTGTCGTCGCCGCCGCGAGAGGAGGATGCGGAAGGAGGTGATGGTTCTCCGATGTTGGGTGGCATGGGTCTTTTCCGGTCTGATTCTTGGAGAGTTGGACCGGGTTTAAGTAACCCGGTTTTGACCGGTTTTCGTTGTAGGTCTCTGCTGAAAAGGAAAGCTTGGCGCCCTATGCTGCTTACTATTACTGAACAGTAATTTTATATTATTCAGCGGATCAATTGTATCTTCTTGATATTTTTTTTCCAGAATTTATTTACTTCCATTTAATATTTTTATATATATATGAAGGTTTTATTTTCTATTTCGTTTTGAAAATATAAGTAATACCTCCCTCTTATTTAGTAGTACGCAATTGCAATTGGATCTTTTGTAAGGCTTCCTCAATGTGCATTGTTTTGGTACAAAACTTTATAATTTGGACCCAAAAAAATATTAGGAACGTAGAAATAAAACTAAGTGAAACATTATTAAAATTAGTTTCAAATAACTCAGTAATTAAAGTATATGTGAAAAAAGAGTTGTTCTATGAATTTTGTGAATTTTTTAATTGATTTACATGATTGTGATTAATATTTAGGTCAGCAAATGTTCTTTTAGTATGAGTGAGTAAGAGAAAAAGATGTTCTATAAAATAATAAAAGAACATAATTTATTCTTTTCAAATACTGAAAACAGAGTATAAGTTACTACATTAAGAAGAGTATTTAAAATTTTGAGTCATTTATCTAAATTATATTAAAATGTTATTATGTTGAGAGAAACTGTTCATAGTCGTTTCTTACACTTCTTTTCGTGAGCAAATAGGAATGAAAAGTTAAATTGGAATTTGAATCAGATACGCGTGACATGTTATGAGAAGGGAGAGAAGAATACTTTGTTAAAGGGTGACCAATCAAAGTTTAGATCAGACAAAAGTTAAAGACATGCATTCTTGTTAAACATTTCAAGTTTCAAACATCGATGCTTGTCATTCCAACATATGACCTACTGTCTTTACTTGACACTGACCAAGTTGTTGAATTGAAGGGACATGATAATACTTGTGCATTTAAGCACACTTCATTTTACTCCACAATTCAGTCTAACCGACAAGTGTAGTTCTCTTCTTGCAAGGTGATATGAATATATGATATGATAGATCTTGATTATGAAAGTGATTGAGAAAATGATTTGTAGATAATTGGAATGATTTTCACCGATTTATCTAGGTAGTTATACACATGAAGGACTTTAACAAACTTAAGCCATGCACTTGATTTGTATAACAAATTTCTCAATAAATTATAACTACCTTAAGAATCAAGCAAACCAATTTTTAATCAACTCTTACAATCAAGTTGATTAATAACTTTCAAACTAAAATATCAACTTAACGCACCACTTAATTTATGTTTGAAAGCCTCTTCATTCTAATAAGTTTCTTCAATTCATCGAGTCCTACATTCTTTAATAGTTTTGTCAACATGTTAGCCAATTGCATTTCAGCCCAACATTATTTAAATTCTAATCTATCACTGTTAATTTAATCGCTTGAAAAATAGAATATCTTCTCAATGTGTTTGCTTCTTCCATAATTGATTGAATGTTTTGATAAATTAATGGTTGATTTGTTGTTAACTAGCAACTTTATCTTTATACCTTGATGAATCTCGATTCTTCAAGCAGCATTTCAATCCATTGTAGTTGACAAACTACAAAAGAAGCTTGCAAATATTTTTTTTTTACATGATGACACGAGAACCATTGGTTACTTCTTTGAAATTCATGAGATTAGGGCTCCATAATTCATGAATAAATAGCCTTCAATATTTTTCCTTTCATCTTGATCACCTCCTCGATCATAATAAGACTAGTCATATGTCAATGCATATTTTTTTTTTACTATTCTTCTGGTTTGACATCAAAATTTCATGATTTGGTATGCCTCTAACATAATTGAATATCCTATTTTTAACTAGAATATGAAATACTCTTGATAATTTCATAAATCTACTTACCAATTCTTCACTTTAACACAAGTCTAACATAATATTGCATATGTAACTCACAGAGCCAGTGATTTAATTTGTTTGTACTATGTAACATTCGTTAATTCTTCATATAGAACTTTGCCTATTTTGACTTCAAGTTCCATTGGAGTTATTGCTTGGATCATTATAGTTTCTCATATAGAATATTTTCAATATATCTTCTAACATATTTCTTTTGGTGTAAAAAGATACATTTTTTCGTTTTCATAAATTCCATTACTAGGAAACATGATATCTTTCCAAGATCATGCGTGTTAAAATTTTGCATTATGTCTATCTTGAAAGATTTTATAGCTCATATTTGCTTTCCTCATAGATCATCAAGTCATTAACATATAGGCACAATGTCAACAATTTCCTGCTACTTACTTTTCTTACATAGACTTCATGTTGATATGCACATTTAGTGAAGCCTAATTTAATGTGAAAATGTTAATTCTTTTGTTCCAAGCTCTAGGGGTTTCCTTCAAGCTATATAAAATCATTCTTAATATGAACATATTTTCTTCTTTAGCCATTGAGTTCAAAAATAGGTGGTTGCTTGACATAATCTTCTTATGATAAAGGTCTATTACGAAAAGTTGATTTTACATCGAGATGATATATGAACCAACTTCTATAAGTTGTTATCACAACATCTGGTACATAGACTTCATTTAAATCCAAGTCATGTTTCTATAAAAAAAAAAAACCGCTTGTCACTAGCCTTTATTTATATTTATCACTTTCACCATTTTGGTGTCATTTTAATCTTATAGATCCACTTCATATCAATTGGAGTTTTTTTTTTGTTGACTTATGTCTCACCTCCCATGTTTTCTTCCCCTCAATTACCTTGAGTTTTTCCTCCATGGATGTTATCCAATTTGAACCATTTAAAGTTTGATCCAAATTGGTTGGCTCTAACTCCACAAATACAACCTCATTGACTAAGTCACCATCTTTTGTGATTACTTGTTTATGAAACATATAATAGTCTCTTAACCTAATTGATTAAGTTTTAGACATGCTTGATTTTTTTTAATATTTTGTTCAATCACCTAAATTTTATCTTGTTCCCCTTATAATACAATTGTTCAATTGTTGTGATGTTGTCCCTTCTATCTTCATTGATAGAACTCGGTTCTTATGTGCCTACTTCTGGTTTTACCTTCTGTTCTCATCACATATCACATCTCTACTAATTACCACTTTGTTATCTTTTTAAGCATATAATTTGCACGCACTAGTTGAGTTGTAATCCCGTGATAACCATTTATTGGCTTCTATAATCAAGTTTTCTCTTAATTTTTCTTAGAACATGACTAAAATATAGTGAGTAAAAAATATTGAAATTTACAACACAAGCTTTTTGACCAATCCAAGCCTCATGTGGTGTCCTGTTCATTAGTTTATTGGTTGGAATTCTAATTATGATATGAACAACAATTGAAACTTCCTTATCCCATAACCTATGAGACATTTTCTTCACTTTCAACATGTATATGGTCACATTCAAAATGCTTCTATTCTTTATTTTTACTATGGCATTGAATAACGGTGTACATGGTGTAGTGACTTCACACTATATTCCTTCATTCTTACAAATCTGTGAAAATTACATAAAGATGTATTCACTTCCACCATTTGTTATGAGTTTTTTTATACTACATTCACTTTACTTCTCGACATGTAGCATATACCTCTTGAACATTGTGAATGAAGTTGCATGTCACTAATATATTCAAGGGTAGAACTTCAATACGGTTTTGTTGCATGTCTCATAAGCTTTCGTTTCATTTATTATTGTTTATTGAGTCTCCTTTTCAATTTCACATCTTTGAGTTAAATTTTGAACCCATTTTTAACATGTATAATTCAAGTGTTTGTATTTGAGTATGATTATTATGTGAAGGTGAGATAATACTTAGAAGGGGGGGTTGAATAAGTATGATAAATTAAGACTTAAAAAATAATCACACAATTATTTTTATCCTGATTCGTTTAACAACTACTCCAGTCCACCATTCCTAGAGTGATTTGCCTTTCTCAACAAGGACTTAATCCACTATTAAATCAAACTGATTACAATAGTAACACCTAAGAACAACAGTTCTTAGTCTTCTCAAGAGCTACTGATTCCAACTGAATCCTCTTAAGGAATATCCTTTACAATCAATGTAAATTAAATACAAGAGTATTAATGCTTCTAAAAAGCTTTTATCACAACAGTGATTTTTCTCTTAAGTTTAAGTACAGTAAATTCTTAGAAGAATAAGAATGAATGAGAGCTTTAGAATATAATGATTTCTTTTCAGCAAAGTGTGTCACTGAAGAATGTGGTGAAGTTCTCCTTTTATAGGCAGCTGATCCATGCAAGCTGAGCGTTGAAAAGAGAGTCCCAAAAGGTCTGAGCCTTTTTGTCTTCACATCAAGTGACCTTTCCTAGAAGTAGATGGCACAGAAAAATCTTTTTTGTCTGTGTAAGTGTGTCTAGCACAAATAAGGAAAGATACGTTGAACAACTCCAACGGATATATTCTTGAAAATTACTTCTTCAGTTTTCAGCAAGTTCTTCAGAGTCTGAATGGATCAGAGTCTTCTAATGAGATTCAGAACTATGATGTATCAGAGTCTTCTGCAGCATGTGTGCTTTCAGCGTGTTGATCATCAGAGCATATTTGACACAGAGCTTCAGTACTAGGCAGCGTAGGTACTTTCAGAAACTTCTGTAGATAAATGCTTTGAGAAACTCTTCAATAAATATTCTTCTATGCTTCAGATGCTTCAGCTTCAGATGCTTCTGATTATCTTCAGATGCTTCTGACTCAGAATGTTCTGGAGCTTCTTGCTTCAGATCCTTCTGGAGACTACGCTCAGGATCTTCTGTAAGGAGCAAACAGATTCTTCTGTAAGGTGCATCTGGCGCTTCAGAGTCAGAATAACTTCTTGTATTCAAAACAGATTTGCTTCTAGAGAGTTAATATTATTTCAATCTGCAGTAAAACTCTCAAACAAATTTTAGAGTATATAATTCTTAAATATAAATTTCCTAACAGTTATCATCAAAACAAAGAGTTATTATTAAGAACCAATTTGTGTTCTAACATTATGTTTTAAGTCGATTGCTTGAGTTAATGGAATAAGAACCATATTTGATGTTGGTTCAAGTTATGTGGGAAGTGA